AAAAAAAAAAAAAAAAAAAACTTGTGAACGAAACTCGTTGAATTTTTTTATACAAGATGCGATCGAACGTGTTTTCACAATTGCACGATTATTCTTCAGTACAACTCAATACAAGGCTAATTATTACTCGAGAAAATCATCGAATGTCTAAAACGACATGTACTTACTTGTTTTTTCAGTAAAAATTATATCTTAGTCTACTTTTGAATGTATAAAAGAAAAAAAAGAAATCCTTAACTAGTGTATAGTTTGATACGCCATGAAATACACTTTTTGTGCCATATACCAAAGTATTGCGTTTCTCACAATTCCGATTCGACCTCAAATGTACGCACACGCACGCATACAGCATAAAAGGGAATAATTGACACATTGAAATTTTCGAGAAAAGTCTTTCTGTGCTTCGATGAATACTTTATGTATATAGGTATGTATATATAATATATTTATGTGTGTGTATTTATACGTTTTAATCCTCATCATCTGGAGTACGGTGTAATATATACTTGGCGCAGGTACAAATAATAAAATCAATCAACGTGCATCCTTAAAAAACAAACGCGAAGTAGTTGCAGTATATTGATGAGTATACGTTGTAAACGGTCCACACGCGCGTGTATACGAATAAATACACACACCCTGACCTCGATTCGTCATCATGTACAAGTCGATTACAAAAGCTTTCGTTAGTTTTCCGTGGTGATTCGGCCAGTGCCAAAACATTGTTTATTATATATATATATATTGTAGTGTTATCATCGTGTATAAACACTCTTCGAAGTTGGACTCGTCGTGGAAGAGCGAGACCTACGAATGGTGATAATTTCTGGAAAAAAAAAAAAAAAAAACTGCCGAACGATGACTGTGGGTGTACAGGTGCCGTGTGTACACCCCAAGAAAACTCTTTCATCACCGGTACAGGTGTACACAAGCAGACCCGCTGAAAGGAGGAGGCAGAAGCTGGGGGTAGGGTTGGGTTACAGGTACTCGACAATGTCGCACTTGATGGAGATGTTGGGACAACTGGCGACACTAGCGCCGTACCGGCTGGTGGTGCTCTTGTGGCGCTCGGTGAGCAATTTTTGGAAAATCGGCAGTATGGTGAGGTCGAGGAGCTCGCCGTCCGACACGGCGCTGTACATGCTGGAGGAGCCCGGCTGGCCGTGCTCCCGGGTGCCCCGAGCCGTGGCGGCCGAGCGCGGGTTCAAGGAGCTCCCGAACTTGTTGTTGTGAATCGTGGCTACGTCCGGTGTGCTCTGGACGTGCTCGAGCCGGCTGGCCTGCTGGCGCAGCTTGTTGGGCCGGGCCTCGCCGGGATGGTGCAGGCCGGCGTGCCGGTGCGCGCAGTCGCGCGAGCGCCTTGCTGCCGCGCGGTGGGGACACTCGGACGCAGGGTGGCCCCGTTGCCCCCGATGCAACTGATGGTGCTGCTGCTCGTGGTGGTGGTGGTGCTGCTGCCTCGGCTGCTGTTCCCGCGAGCGCTCCGACACCGAGCGCTGCATACTCCTGACCAAGACCCCGCTCTCCTCACGGCGTTCTGCGGCAACGACAAACGTCCAAGTTGTAAACAAAATAGGTAGGTATAATTATCGTGTGTTGGTTTTAAATTCTAAATTTTCATCGTCAACGGAATCTCGTGTCACATTGCCAAAATCTACGCGGATCCGTCAATATTGAAATTTACGTCACGGTGATGAATGATTCAAAGAGAAAAACTGAAAAGCCACCGGTAATTGCTCTAATCTTCAAGATCTCGTTGAGACGATACACCCAGTAATGATGTGCATCACGTGTTACATTCCTCCCTATGAATGAACAACAAAAATCTAGGTGACAAGCATCGCACGTACCCGTGTCGGAGGAGCAGCTTCCGGCGAGGGCGACGCTCGGCGAGCTGGCGTTCCTTGGCTGGTCGTGGTGCCGGTGCCTCGTCGGCTTGCCGCCACCTCCAGGCTGCACGTCGGCCGAGCCATTGAGGACGAGAGCGGGCCCGTGGAGGTGCGTCCGGCCGGCATTACCGGCGACGCCGGCCGGCCCGCCGGTACCCCCGTGTTTCTCGCACCTGTAGCCCGTGCCGAAGCTCAGGGCGCGCTTGTGCCCGCAGTCGTTGGCGTGCCCGCAGACCCGGGGCAGGGTGCCGAGGGTGTCCTCGTACGCGACGCGCGCCACGTTCTCCGTCGATATGTAGCTGATCGAGTTGGCGGGCACGCTGGTGCGCCGGCGCTCGAACAGCTCGTGCTGGGAGCGGGCGAGCTCGGCGCCCTTGGCCGAGGCGCGTCGCTTCAGGGACGATTGACCCGGTCCTTGTGGCCGGTGGTTGTGCTGGTGGCAGGCGTCCGTCGTCTGCTCGTGCAGCTCGCCGAAGGAGACGTTTTTGGCCGGTGGCGGTGGGGTCGGTTGGCGGGAGCGCCTCGACGGGGCATGCTGGGGCGAGCCGGTGTCGCTCTCCTCGTTCGAGTGGCTCTCCTCGACGTACTCGGTGGCGACTCGTCCGTTGGGTGCCCGGGCCGGGGCCTCCGGCTGGGCTATGCGTGCCCTGCGCCCGAGGGTCGACACCTCGGCTGAGGATGGCTGCTTCAGGGCCGAGGGTAGCGGCTGGTGGGGCAGGCCGGTGCTGCGCTCGCTCGGCTCGATTATACCCAGGCTCCTCGAGAAGGACGTCTTTTTTCTGGGCGGAAACAAGTTAAATTGATCCTCGCTGTTTCGGCTCAACCGCAATCCCGCGTTTCATACGTACTTGGCGGCCTGTTGCTCCAAAGTGCTCACGTTCACGTAGTCCCCTTCGAGCTGCGAGACGTTCGTCGTCGAGTTGAGGCTGCACATGGACATCGAGACGTCGGTAGTTTCCGTGGTCACCGACGGCCCTGCAAATTTCCAAACCACAAGGTTATACGTTATACACACTTGTTCCGACTCTGCACATCAGGCTTTCAATCACCGCTACGTTATTATATGCAATCCAGCAGTCAAAAGTTGTTTATAAGCACTAAAATATATATATATATATATAGATGTTTGTATACTAAAGTTGGAATGAACGAGCGTGTTTGCGAGTGTATAATATGTATGAAAAAACTACTGATGTTGGTGCTGCTACTGTAACGTTTGAGGCCAACCTCATATGATAAATACATACCTACTTTTCAAGTCACAACTAACGAGCATTCAATCGAGTATCGTAAGTTTTGCGTCCTACGGGATCGAACATTATTTTGCAACGAATCGTTACAATTTTGAAAAAAAATGTAAGGACTACGTGATCCAAACTATACGTAATATAACGCTACTTTGGCAATCGAGGACAAAGTGATATGTCATGCAGGTGCACGAGTCGGGTGATTGGCATTTACTATCGTTTCATGGTCGAAGAAATGGCAACTTTGATGATGGACTGACCTTTGAAATTTTGCGTGCTTTGCCGCTGGACTGTGAGCTCTAACATACACATAACACCGTGAGTTAAAGGGGAAACTTATCTTTTTTTCTTTTTTCTTTTACACTTTGTACAGAAAATAAGCTTGAATGATTTTGATAATATTTACATTGTCTTTTGAGGCAGTGGAGAAGAGATGGAAAAAAAAGGTGACTATACAAAACTAGGAGCGGTAGGTGCGGAGGAGAGCATATATTATGTAGACAGAAAAAAAAAAAAAAAAAAAAAAGCAATCGTCCTTGCCTTCTCTCCTGATCGTTGGCGCCTCGTGCCTCGGAACGGTCAACCTGTCCATGGCAGTCTGCGTGTCCCCGGAAATGCTCCCTTCATCGCCCAGTCTTCTCATGTACAACTGCAATGACGAGTGTTTCCCTCGTTTGAATGAAACAAGCAAAAGTCGAAGATACAAGGGAAAAACCAAACCAACATCGAGCTCCGATTCCTTGTCTTGGAGTTTTTTCCTGAACTTTTGATTGGCAACCGTCGCGTCCTTCAGCCGGTCCTCCAACTCGCTGATGCTCGAATCCCTCCGCGCTTTCGACATCGGCTTCAGCGTAGGTCGGAATCTCTTGTCTATTTGGCCCTGAGGATTTCTCCGCAGCTCTATGAGCTGCCGGACCACGAACGACGACCATTAGGTTTTAACACACGCGTACATTATATTGTGTGTGTCTATATGATTAGCGCAACATACCTTGGGCACGAAGACGAGGCACAGCGTGGCGGTACTGCAAAATATGATGAAAACCGACAACATGATGAACATGGCGTCCTGCTTGTCGGCCAACACGAAGCTTATCGCAGCCCCGGTTATGCACATTATCACGACGTTGTAGACGCTCATGCCGACGTACTTGCTGTCGTTAAGGGCTGGTATGCTCACGTGTCGCGTCTCCCAGGCCAGAAAAGCGCCGAATATCTGTTGTGCGGATGTTTTTTTTTTTTTTTTTTTTTTTCATTCGACGACCAACGAAAATGAACAAACAAACGTTTATACCATCAGAAGACCCTTGTAAGCGTATATGCATCCCAAATATATGGTCATCCTGTTGCTCTGGCAGTACTCGTTCTCCGGGAATATGACAATGTCCTCGCTCGATGGGTGCAACTAAAGAAAATAATCATAAAACGTTGGAGAACGACGAAAACATGGGTAATCACGTGTAGGGTCTTACGTAGGGCTCCATCTGCTTGGTTTCCCGGTAGAAAGGATCGGCAACCTGCCAGGTCGTCATTATCGCGAGATCGATGAACAATAGTATCCCGACGACCATGAACAGCTGGTAATCCTTGATGACCTGGACGGAAAAAAAAAAAAAAAAAGAAAAAAGTTAAAAATAGCCAAAGCCTCGGTGGTGGGTGTAAAAGGTCGCGTCTCACCTTCTTGTTGAGCTTGACGTCGGTGAATATCGAGTGGACGCGCCAAGTCTTGGAGAACATGGAGCCAAAGGCCAGGGAGAAGCCGGCCATGAGGAGCCAAGCCCGAGCCGTGCATATGTACGGGAAAGCCGTGACGCTCGACAGCTGCGAGTCCAAGCCCAGAAAGATGACGCTGCTGTAGGTGAGCATGCACCCGACGATTATGAGGTTGTTCAGATGGGGCGACGACATTTTTATGTACCTGCACCAACGGACAATTATTATTATTTTTTTTTTTTGTTCCTCTCCTCTTGGCCCGATGTTGCGGATCAAAAGCGAACATATGCACGTACCTCTGATTCCGATACCTGATGTTGATGGCGAGGAACACGGCGGCCATGACGATGCCGATGCTCGCGGCGGAGGCCAGAAGCACGTAGATCGATATGTTGACCGTCGAGTGCTCGATCAGGTGGACCGTTCTGTCCTTGGGCGGGTACTTGCCGCGCCAAACCAAGGGCTCGCCCCTCGACAAATCCAACGTTTTGCTGATCGCGTCGTACTCGCCGACCTTGACCTCGCCGTTGCCACCTGTACACACGTGCGCCGTCACCATCAATCGGTGCCATCACCAACAAAAAAAAGAAAAAAAAAAAAAAAAAAAAAAAACTACTCACTTTGAAACTGCTTGAGTAGGATGTAAGCCTTTCTTTCGTTGTCGTAGAAGCGCACGGGACCCTATGGGGAAACGGAACAACAGCGTTGCATGTAGGTGTAAACAAGAGAGAGGATAGGCGGGATGATCAATGGACTTACGGTGACACCTTCGAAGCTCGTGTTCCTAAGCGCCTCGAGGAACAGTCGTTCCCAGAGCTCGTCCCTGTAGCGAAAATCGGCGACCGTCTGGTTCCGCCGGAAGTGGCGTATTCGTCGAGCCACGTGCTGAATCGCCAGAGCCACCGCCCATATGCCGTCGTACGTGTAGCCGTGGAAGCGCGAGTACTCGGAGTCCCGGCGCGCGTCGTACTCCTTCAGGTACTCGTCCGGCGTCTGTTGGAAGCGAACCTTATTTATTTATTTTGTTTATTTATTTATTTTTTTTCTGGTATAAAAACGACGGATTAATATATAGTCATGAAAAAGAATACAAATAAATGTGCGAGTACATAACAATTGCTGGGAGAAAACGCCCAAGTTAAGTTGGTACGGGTGATTTGGCAGCGATTCATAATTTTAGCCGGTGAATCGGTACGAATATTCCCTGGTTCGGATACTTAACGCATATAAAAGCCGAGCAGGGCTTTAAGCTTAAAAACGTTAAATTTCTCCTCGGTGGCTGAGTATAGGTGCCACGAGGGAGGGGGTGGGGGAAAATTGATCTGTCAGAGAGACGATCGAGACGAGAGTGCACTTATACAGACGCGTACGGTGTGCTCATTTTCAAAGGAGAGCGCTTTCGCGTACACGCGACGGGATCATCTCTCTCAAGTGGCGCACCAGCGACGGGAACGAGACGAGTTATATACATCGTCGATTATTTTTCACGCGAGTATTGAATACATGCCGTGCACGTACATGTGTGCACATATACGTAGACGGCGGGGGGCACAAAAGCCCCGGGGCTCTCTCACTTTATTTGCTCGAGGGAGCGTTACACGTATACGCAAAAGCGCGCCGACTGTCACTTGCACGGCGAGTTTATCCATCATTTTTTCTTTTTTTCTTCTTTTTTTTTGCCACCCGTCAATCCACACGCGTAGGGTGCTTTTGGGAATTTTGAAACGCAAAAGGGCGCTTGAAGCGAAATAACAAGAAGCTAGACGAGTGGTTTGGAAAAATTTTTTACTATCCCAAGATTCCCAGAGACGGCAAAGTGGCGTTTTCAACGGAGACCCGTGCGTGTGTTTTTGCACTTGTTTTCCTCTTCGTTAGCTCGTGCCGGCGTCGAGGATCTCGCGACGGTCCAATTTAAGTTTTTCGGCCAGCCGTCGCCGAAAAACTTTTTCCTCCCGCCCCTCCGCCCGGAGGCGTCGCGAGAGTTGCCAGGAACCCGCCGAGCTAAACAACCGGCTGTGCGCCCGTGACGAGTAGAGTGGGAAAAGGAGAGAGGGGCAATAAAGGGCCCCTGGGCTGTTTCCTGGCGTCGATGGCAGCAATAAACAAGACGAGGTACGCATGTACGGATGCGGTGGGTTATGTACTCACGATTCCAGAGACGGTGATCTGGCGCTCGGTCGATAGGGGCAGCAGGTCCGTGAGGATGGTGCCGTGCAGCGCCTCCTGGAGCTCCGAGGGTGCGCACATGACGTCCGGGCTGAGCCACCACTTTTCCGTGTACATGCCCACGATGACCCACTGGTACTTGCGACCGTACATTTTCAGTCTGCACTCACAAAGGGCCCATTTATTTTATGAAGTTTACCAAAGGGGGAGGGGCTGGTTTATCACTGGGGGTTGACGATAACTTGATCGAGCATCCGAAGGATTTCCGGGGCTCCGAATTCAGTCACAAGAGCTATTTCTTTTTTTCTTTCTTTTTCGAACCGTTAATACAATAGAGAGCGTGAAAAGTAAGGCTATCGATGCTATCTTTGTTTTCGAGCGACAACTCATACCGAGAACTTTTTTCTTTTCAATCCTCCTTCGTACCATCGTCATTAAAACACTTTCGAATAAGCAGACTTGGGCGCAAGCAATGGTTTTTCTAAAACTTCTTTTTGTCGCAAAACAATGGATTACAATAAGTTAAAAAAAAAAAAAAAAAAAAAATGGCCAAAGTGTTGAAACAGCTATACTTGAATTAAAAATTTTCTTGTTCAGCAGAATTAATGCACTTTATTTCGGGGGGAAAAAAAAAAAAATTGCTCTCTCGAAATACATTGAAAAATCTAAAAACTGTCCAATTGCACGCCACACCGCTCACCTGTAGGCTTCGCAAAAGATCTTCATAGCCCAGACCTCGTTGAAGTTCCCGAGGATGATGCGGACGTCCTTCTTTTTGAGCTTCTCCAGAGCCGACGCGACTTCCGTGGCAAAGCTCTGGCTTTCGACGACTTCGATCGAGTTCTGGTCCAAATCCGAGACCAGTCTGTTGTGCGCCTACACGTTTAATGACACAAGAATCATACCAACTTTCAAAATATAAATATATGTACCGACGCGAACCAAAGAAAAAAAAAAAAAAAAAAAAAAACCATAGGTGCACGGTTAATTATGTGTGCGCAAGAAAAAAAAAAAAAAAAAAAAAACTCAACCCTCCTTGTTTTACTTTATTTTCTTTTCCCTCTGCTTGAACAAAAGTTAGAGAAGCCGGAGGTAAATAACGCTATTTCGGAGGTGGTGCGCGTAAAACAAATGAAATCCAATTAAGGTAAAGCAAGCGGGTCGTCGAGACGGAGAGAAAACGAGCCACGTACCTACATAAGTATAGCCATGCACACACGCGGTAGTGTACACGTGTACACACACCTATATATACGCAGAAGGCAGTAAACCCTCGGAAAACGAGAGTTGCTTTGATGTTTGAAGCAAAACGCTTCCGCCGTTTCCGGCTCTTGCACACGTATATATACCTACGACTAAATCCTCCCCTCCGCGACTTTTCATTTACATCTCGCGCTTCTTCGTCATTATACACCTCGGCCGTTATACTTTCCGAGCCGGTTACAAGGGACCAAAAATACCATCGTCGCGCTCTGTTTGACTTCATTTTCCCCGCGACTTCTTTTGCCTGTACCCGTTGTATACGTGGATACAAAAAATACAACAAAACTTTGCGAACGAAGAGCCCGTGTGCATTAGGCGCCCCACAAAGTTGCGAGCGGACGCGCAAATTTCGACGCTGTGCTTTTCCGCTCGTCCCCTCTCGAGGGACGAATTCCCCCGAAAGGGGTGTATGTAATATTGTGGTCGTTGTATGGGGGACGAAGTTGCTTACCAGGGCGTATCGGGGCTCGTTCTGGTATATCGTGCCCACCCGGGTCCAGTTGAAGTTGTTGAGGAGGGTGACGCGGGGCGCGTTGAAGGCGTTCTCCGACGGCACTATCCTGAAGAAGTTTGGAAAGTTGTCGCTGGTGAACATCGGGTGCGTGTCCGCGTAGCTCAGCTGTGGACAGAGAGAGACTCGTGTCATGACGATTTGATCATGTTTCGTGCTTTGCAACAACAAAAGTTGAGCTATTCTTCAGCTCTAAGCGCGAAAATAAGCCACATTGCATACACACATAGTTTCGGGGGGGTTTTCCTCCCCCCCCCTCTCCTTGCATTTGGAAGCAGAGAGAAAAAGTATTTTGATTTGGGTGTGAGAATTTAAAAATACCGCTCTGAATGTTTATTTGACTTTCAAGGAAAAAGCGTGCCAAAAAAAAAAAAAAAAAAAAAAAGAGAGAGGATCTAAAATTTTTCGTTCAATCATGTATAGCTACTCGTGCAAAACGTCAGTTTGAAAAGTTATCCGATAAGAGCAAATAGTGTTTTTTTTTCACCGAAGCTCAGTCGTGAAGGGATGAAAAAAAAAAAAAATTTTTGTTCCCCTTTGAATCCAAGCAGCGCAACGAAGGTAGAGGTCAATCGAAAATATAACTTTGAGCCTTGAAAAGTGGATTAAAACAACAAAACTCTCGGGGGGTGGCAGCCCTCGGAAATTCTCTATGTACGCGAGAAATGATAAATTCCAAGCTCGGTTGGCCGTACTCCTGCGGACGATAATACGTGTACTACGTAGCCACCGCCTTTGGTGATTTCATTACCCCTGAGGGCGGTCGGCCGGAAACCCCGTGACCGCATCGGGCAAAGAGCGCGACCGCACTTCTTTGAGCAACAAGTGCTATATTATGTAGCCGCGCTATTTGAAAAGCCCCTCCTCGATGATGCGGGGCTCTGTGTGTCTACGTATATAATACGGTTGCCACTCGGCTGAGCCCGAAATCCAAAAACTTACAAAGAAACGAGCGAATAAGCACCCCCCCCCACCCCGTTGTTCGACAAGGGCTCGAAACTATCCAACCCATCAGCCTTATACACATATTACATGCCATGCACTCGACTCGTGAAAGCTCTTGTTCGCCGTCGTGCCTTTTCCCTTTTATACGTCCTCTTAGGTGCAGCTTATACCACTGCGACAACATATCGATCCATCATCGTCACCCCCTTAGCTGCCTGACAATTTATCCTCTACGTTACATCATCGCCTGATGCGCGGCGGTACAGTGTTCTCACTCCCATTACACGCGCATGCACTTTCGATCAAACGGGTTAGTCGAAAGTTTAGTGGCTTATGTAGCTGCAGGTGTTTCATGTCTTTTTGGGAGGAAAAAAAAACAAAAGGGTCAGTGAGATCGTCGACCTTTTAGCTAATTTTCAAAGCCCTTGGCTCTGGGTCTGAAAGTCACGCGATAAAAAAATTGGAAAAAAGTGTCGCGGTACACCCAAAGGGTTTGACGAGCGCGTCTCAACGCGACACCCAAAGTGGATTGTCAATGGAAGGTCATCCAGGGGCGTATAATTAATATCGCCCGGAGCGCGGAAGCACGCTCTGGTTGCCGTACACATGCGCCAATGAAGCCTTCCCTCTTGGCTTGGGAATAGGATAGGAGCAAGAGGCTCCCTCAAAAAGCTCCGCACCATATGTCTATGTATACACCGTACATTATGGTCTCAAAGGAAGTTAGAGCTCGTTAGGTCTCTTTGCTCGTAAATTATCGAATCAACGGTGTTGACCTCTCGACCGTGTACATGTACGCGATACGAAGGCCGATGCCAAATTTTCATCGATCCCGCGTTGTGCCGGAGTCGTCGGAGTTGACACGTGTATATATAAATATGAGTTGACTTTGGGTATATAATATAATATACGAAGCGCGAACGCACTTGTCTTCGATTGTACACGTTTTGCGCGCAGTGTAAGTATAATTACGATAAGTGCAGTGATTTATCGGGTTAAATTAACCTTATATATACATTTTGTACATCGGCTCATAATATACATCACGTTTCGGGTAATAGAGAGGAGGAGGAGGAGGGGGAGGAGGAGAGGTCTGATTCGATGATAAAGGGTCTATTAAAATTTTCATAATTTCGTTTGAATAATGAAACTTACAGGGCGGTGGGATGGGCTGGAGGGAGGAGAGGGGTTAATTAGATTCTTAATTGATAAGTCGAGACTCTCGGTCTTCTTCTTCTTTCGTATACTTTCCGTGAGACGAGTTCATCGGCGCTCGCGCACCGAAGGACTTTTTATTAGGTATTATACTCTGATGGGATTTTTCTTTTGCGCGGAACGACCGACTGACGAATGGAAATTTCTTCTTCTTTTTTTTTTTTTTTTTTTTCTTCTTCTTCAACCCCCCACTCGGGGCCAATTGGCGCTTGGCCGTGCGGAAAATGGTTTAATTAATTCTCTTGCGATAAAATAATACTCGACGAATCGTAGTCGACCTCTTGCTTTTTATCGTACCCACTTCTCGGCTGCAGCAGTAAATCCTGGGATTCTTTTTTTTTTTTTTTTTCATGAAAAAATACCGTTTGCGCGAATCAAGTCGACGCGACGAATTTGCAAAAATGACCGATTCAACCCACCACTAGTTGTTTCTTCTTCCACCTCGGCGGTCGATGAAATAACAAAACGCGAAAAAACATTGTGTTCGGATCGATGGTTGACACGTGCTTACTTTCGACCAAACCAGCCGATGAAACTTTGTTTCACACCAAAACGCAACAAATGTTCGCAAAATTGCTTGAAGTAGCAATTTTCATCCACGATGGTCCACCCGATGCAAACAGGTGTACCGAACGAAAAGCCAAAAAAACAGACGGAGAGTGTAAACATTTCACCGCACCGAGGGAGGTTTGGTTGTTTATTTTTTCCCGTCCCACCGCGGGCGAATTAATAACAAAGACTCCCGAGTGGGTCCATCAGGGGGGGGGGGCGGGCAGAGTCCACCTGCAAATTATTTATAGCCTCCTTGGACCGGACGACGAGGCACATCAGGCGCTGCAGGCGAGGATGAAACTCCCCCGAGCCGCGGAGGAGAGAGAGTTTATTCTCCATCTATATGTAAATTCGAGGTCCGGCCGTGGTTTGTTGCGCGCCTGGAAGCTCGTATCAACTCTGCCTAATTGCTCCAGCACTCCCGGTTCTATAACGCCCTTAACGCGCCGGTACGCGCGTCCATTCCATTTTTGTTTGTTTTTTGTTTTACACCCACTTGAAAACTCTTTGGAAACTCTCTCCGTCCGGGGAGGGGACATGCACTGCGCTCGTGTATTGCCCAACAATTCCGTGACTCGAAACGGTACCCCCCCCCCCCCCCACTGCATGTAACAATGTTACCGGCAACAACAGCAGAGGCAGAGAAAATAAAAACTACACCCACCTGGACCTACAGCATTGGCAATGGAATGCAGCCGAACGACATGATGGGAAAAAGTGAAATTGCGAGCGCGCACGATCGCGGGGGGGAAATCGATATTCGGGTCGAAATTGATTAGAAAATAAAAGGAGAGGCCGAAACTGCTCGGGTTACGTTTCATGGGGAGGCTCGGGTGGGGGGGAAAAAAAAAAAAAAAAATAAAAAAAAAACAGCCTCGGTGTAACCGGTGCTAATAAATATTTCGTATAAGGAGAGAAGGAAAAATCCGAGGGAGGAGAGGAAGAACAATAGGAGAGAGAGAGAGAGCTGCGTTTAAAAATAGGGGGTTGGGTGGAAGAGAAGAGAGACAGGGAGCGCGGGAAATCAATATATAGAGGGCGAGGCCGTGTACGTATGCTTGTTGCACATCAAACAAAAATGCGAACGCTTGGGTGTACTTACGGCCCCCCCCCTTTTTTTTTTCTTTTTATAAAAGACAGGTGCAATGGACAATGTATACCCACCTGCGTGAGACGCCAGTGTTTGGCGGCCTTGGCAATGGGGTCCGTGACTTGGGTGCAGGCGGCGCCGAAGAGCATGACTTTGTGCGGACCGCTGTGCATCATGTCGAAGAAGGCCTTGACTCCGACCGCCGCGTTACACTGCAACGTACAACAATCACGATCAAGCTATGTGTACAAGTGTCAAGTGTTTTTTTTTTTTTTTTTTTTTTTTTTTTAATCAGTATAGTTATGCAGTTTTGTCAAACAATGTATATATTTTATAAAATCGATGTATGGTAAAGATGGTACAGCGAGTACACGTCAAAGGACTGCAGGCAACTGATAATTTTCTCTCGGATTTCGAGGCACCGGAGAAACTCTATATTATATACGTGTACATGGAGCTCGGCAAACTAGGTAAATATTCAATTCGACGGGCTATGTATGTATAGCTCGATCTCGTGCTCCTTCGCATCTCTATGTACTCTCGTTGCCATCCGTCCTAAATATATATATATATATATATATATATATATATATATATATATATATATATATACGTGATTAACACAACTACCTCGCGAATCTTTCGATCTTGGCTTTCTGGCAACTAGTTTTCATGCATATACCGACGTAATTTGATTGTTACTTTGACGCGTGATTTTCTTTCCCCACAATGTAAGTAACACACGCTGAGGAACGATAAAATTTTACGGTAATAACGATGATGAAAAAAAAAAAAAAAAAAAAAAAAAAAAAAAAAAAAAAAAAAAAAAAGCAACAACACGATAAAATTTCCTCGTTACAAAAGTCTTTAGAGTCTCATGCGTCGATCGTTCACGTTTTACCCACGTGTTTGGACAAAATTTAATATCGCACCGTTAAATGCGACACAGTAAAGTTTATGTATATAAGTAATGGCTGAATGTACATCGTATATGATTGAGCAGTAACGAGCGGTGCAATTAAAAAGGATACTCAAAAATGCGCGTCGCACTGTATAAACACAAATACACACACAGTAGGAAATGACAAAACCTACCGGCCGACCAACACGAAGGTATAAATATATGTACACACAAAAAGAAAAAGCACATGCTTTTCACGTATAAACGAGCAACTTTGCGATTCAAGGCTTTTCCAACGTATAGATAAACACACTCTCGGTTCCCCTCCTTTGAAACTAGGTCTCATTAGTAAAATTTAAAATACACGCGAGTGCCCCCGTTGGCGCACGAGCAAAAGTAGGCAACAATTAACAAGGGAAATTGTACGTATGTATGTATGGGCAAGACGTAAAACAGCTTTCGCAAAGGTATAACGTTTATACATGCGAGTTTGCGTACAAGTATATTCCCGCACAATCCGACGATTTTTCTCGCGAATGTTTCACGACTTGTGTGTCCTCGGGTGTTCCATTTTCGCTCCTGTCGGCAGCCACTTTCCCGAAGCCAAACGTACCCGGGGCTTTGTTTCCCTCCTCCTCCTCCCCGACTTTGCACCCATATCGTATATTATTACACGGGACAAGCCTTTGACCGCAATACGCATTTAATCGGCTTGGGCGTGTATATTATACATGAATGTGCAAGGGAGCGGAGCAAAGTTTTCCCTGGAGCTTTTCGGGCTCTCGTGCGGGCGAGGGGCCCCGAGAAGCGAGATCAGTTGAAGAGGGAGGGAGACGTGGGGTATCACATCACGTTCTCTCGCCACGGCGCGTCGGCAGCGGAGGAAGCTGCCTCCAGCCAACTAATTATCCGGATCCCCCCAGCTCCGCTATAGCTGTGAATTTCGAGCTGCTCCCTCTCGCGTGCTCGAGTAGGTGTCCATATGTATATGTATACACATGCAGCGAGTCCCGATTTGTGCCCCCCCCCCCCCAACCCCCGTTCATTCGTTTAAAAGTCGAAATGGCCTCTCACTCCAACCGCCAATGGCCAATTTTGGGTGTAGCCCGTTCGAATTCCACGCGAGCCGGCGAAAGAAGCTCCGCGCGGGGGATTCTCGAAAGCGAGGTCTATCGTCGGAATGTCGTACAATTTTCATCCTTTCCTCGTTAAGCTGTATTACCGTTGTGGGAGTACATGTTTTCTTTTAATTTTCTCGTCGTGATTAAGCTGATGGTTATCCCGCAGCTGCTGTAGGTGATTAATTAGCTAATGGGGGACGGAGGGATTACGCAATAGGTGCAAGTGTACTTGCACACACGCACCTCTTGTTTTAATGTAATTAAAACTGACTCCATCGCCGTATCAACTTTGGGTTGTTTGTTTGTTTGTTTGTCCCAACTATGTGCACTGAGAGAGAGAGAAAAAAAAAAAAAAAAACAATTACCACGCTAGAATGGTAATCTTGTGCCATTTCGCACATTGCCATTAAAACACAGTAATTTTTATCATTTTTCTTTGCTCTCAATAAAGGGAGAAACCTTCGGCAAAGCCAAAAAGTACAGGATGCTTCTCCCCCCCCCTCCCTCGTGTATGGGCATTGACACTTTTGTGTCGAATAAAAATCGATACTCGAGACAGACGAGCCAATTGATACGTTTATCACCCCCCGACACCCGAATCGCGTTGAGAGCAAGACAAGTACTTTCATTCCCCCTCCCTCTTGGCAAGCGCTGTCTTTCGCCCCTTTGCAAGCTCTCGATCGAAAAAGACCCACGCGAGCATTTTCGCACTCGAACGCGAACAAAGGGGGGAAAAGGAAGCCGCGGTTACACGAGCATCGTCCGTCGACCCGTATACGAGACACTCGCGTGTTTTTGATTAAACACACCCCGCTAAAGAGCCGATGATGCATCACATCAACCCCACCGGGACGAATAACACCATCAGCCCCGGCGGTATTGTCGTTGCTCGAGTTTGTCGTGCCAATTCGCTCGCGGGCCACTCCTTATGTATACACACGCGTCGCGTGCGCCAATACCCGAGCTTGTAATTATTATACCTATACGTATGCGCATATCCGGCTGATGCGGCGGCAGTGAAGCGTACATTTTCATTAGGAGCTTACACGTGCACGGCGTATATGTGCTTTCTTCGGTTTACGAGTTTCACGCTCCGACGTGACAAGAGGTATTCATTATGTATATATACCCATATCCGAGGTTCGAATTTCTCTCTCCCCGTCTCGCGAAAACTCACTGGAATTCATTTTATTTGCATTTCGAACGTCGGTGATTTAAAATCATCATCATCATCTCGACACACGAGAGTATTATTATGTATTCTATATATACGTGCAGTCGAGGGGGCGCGAGATTTCGATTGCCTCGACGTGTGAATTGCCGGTTAATTTTCAAGCCTACACCCATCATGGCGCTTTGGCGCTTATTGATATTCCGCGAAACGTTTGCCCGAAGATTAAAATAAATCGCAAGTATCGGGACGAACAAATATATACACGTGCACGGGCGAATAAAATCATTGTAACGGATACATTTATACACTCGCGCACGGGGAGGTATAGATTTGATTTTAGCGCCCGCCGGTGAACAGTAAGCGTCAATCGAGGCAAACAAAGTTTATATTCTCCCGCTCTCTCTCTCTCATGAATAAATAATAAACCCACCGACGGGGGGTTAATTGTCTAATGGACTCGTAATCGGATTCTCGTGGATTGGATTTCACGTATAGGAAAAGCCCTCGGTGAAATTGAATTTTCGCGTTCACCCCCCCCCCACCACCCCGATGAACTTTGCGTGAACACAAATGCATGCATTTTTCCGAACGGCGTCGCGTGTAACGCGATACATAACATACACCTGTGAGCCGGAAACGTGAAACTGACGGAACATCGAACAAAGGGGTAACTAGTAAACAGGGAAAATGGAAAATCGAAGGAAAAAAAAAAAATTGCATCGTGGCGAAACCATGACCCCGTGGGGGAGAAGTTTCTGCCAGAGCTCGTCCAAACGGGGTGTATTATGCGGACGTATGTCGCAGGCAAGTGCGTTAGCCCAAAGTGACGGTGACAGTACCCCACAAGTAGGTATCTCCTACTCCGTACATTGTCCCTCCCGGCTTCATCCGTGCACGGGTTACCGCTGTCGGTTTCGCTCAGCTCCTGCCCGTTAGCGTGTGCCCCTGTCATGTGTAGGTATGTACACTTACGCGTCGTATATATACAATGTGTAAGTAGGTATATACAACACATACGGCGCGGAGTTTGCGGTGGGGCTGCTAAATCCCGACAATTATCGACGGCTCATCGCCCCCTGCAGTGCCGAGTCTCGAGACGAGATGGATCCAGCAGCCTTGCACCGCCACCACCACCACTGCTAATGAGCCGTCGTCGTGAAGCCTCTCGCCGCCAATACTGCCGCGACCCCCGCACATTACATTATCCATGCTAATGGCGGGTATTTCCACTGGAATTTTTTCCCTCTCCTTCTTCTTTTTCCCTCTTCCATTCGCTCGCAAACGGAGCTACTGTACAAGTCAAGTGTAGGCATACGGTCAAAGTGAGCAGAGAGGTCTTTTTTTTTTTTGTTTTTGTTTTTTTCTTTACAACGAAAGTGTAATTAATTGTTAAAAAAGGGGGAGTGAGGTATACACAAAGGTAGCGCGTGATGCACATCACACATTGTGCCCGTGCGTGTGCCTATAAATTTTTCCCCCGATAACGTCGCGCTTATTCCCCGCGTGAATTATTGTCGCCGGAGGAAAAACCAAAAAAGTGTATATATGAAACACACGCCACGCGCGTTACATTGCAAAAACAGCGGAAAAATGCACGTCCATGTGTACACATGCAACACCAATATCGCGTACGCGACCCATCTCGCGTGATAAGACGCGTGACGATGCGTCCATATGGGTGTATCCTACGTTTCAAAGTCTATACATGTCCCGCGGGAAAACGTCAAAATGTACATATATGTATATGTATTTATACAACGTGTACCCTTATATACTGTATACATATAGGTCTACGTATACGATGAAGCAGCCTTATGATTTAGACGAGGAGGGGTAGCCGGCAATTAAGCTTGTATACACGTATTAATCAGCGCTAAAGCTGGTCAAATTCGGGGTTGTCGGTGGCGGTCACCGGATTCCTCGAGGTTGGGAAGCTCGTCACAATCCCGGGACGTGACGTGTTTTCCTTCATTACATTGTATACATATAACGTACACGTATATATATATATATATA